GTACACAGGTACATTTCAGATAATGCTCTGAGGTAAAAAATTGAGACTTTTGTGTTAATTTTCACTGAATGATTTACTTTGTTTGGCCAGGACATGTGACTGATGTTACTTAAGAGCACCTTGTTATGAATTTTTTTGGTCATATTCTTACCTTCATTGTTATTGTTACTGGCAAGGTTACAGTATATAGTCCTTCATTACTATAGTAATTACTCTTTGCCTGTGAAGCATGAAATGTATTCAGCACTATGGTTAACATTTAAGAAAAAAAGGCCTTTTGGCAGCTGCTGTTAACATGACTTTACACACTGGACAAGGACAAAGGAGTAACTTTACAGAAGAAAAGTGATGACGCTCAGCAAGATCTGTGTGTAATGTACTCACTAGCAAAGCTGGTACAGGAGCCAGCACAGACGTAGGTAATTGAAGGACGCTACGCTTCGCCAATGATGGCTACTCTCAGACGATTTATACAGTAAACCTTGGAGCTGAGCCGACTCGAGCGAAGCTTCAGTCTGTTCCTTAAGGCCAACGCACCAATCACAGAGCAGAATGTCTTTTATTGGAGGCGTGTTCACTACGCCTTTTCAAGTAGAGAAATCATTAACATACCTTACAGTTTGAAAACAGATGTATAGAAAATGTACGATCCAGTTTCTCCCAAAGAGATGGGTGATGAAGTTCATGCTTCATTTGAGAGAATGGAGCTAGCTGACCCATTACAGCTAGTTCCTTTTATCCAATCACGAGAAAACTGAAAGCTTTTTCATTTTTACACGGGCTTAACATATCTTACAAATAAACAAGTAAATATATATTCTCAATAACTATTACTATCTAAGGAGCTTCTGAACTTCTTGAAGTTTCTTGAAGACGTTTCACCTCTCATCCGAGAACCTTCTTCAGTTCTAAGGGTAATTGGTGGAGAGTCCCAGATTTTTAAACCCTACTGGGAATGTCCTTAAGAGGGTCGTTGATCCATTGATCATCTGCCTAATCACCTGAGCCAGGGTGTGAAAACTGATGTGGATCACTATACGGGTGAACCCATTGTGAGACCTTGCCCCACCCTATCATGTGACTTATGCGAGTGGGCGTTAAGGCGTCTAGGAAGGGATCTCAAAAGGGTTTGGGTGGGAAGGTGTCACAGTGGGTTCACCTGAAACTTTGGCTGATAGATGAAATGTCTTCAAGAAACTCCAGTCGCCTTTCTTTTAAAGCTGCTTAGATTACCATGACCTGGATGACTGAGAACCTTCAAAGACATTATATTTTTATATAATATATAAATATATATAATTTTAAAACTTTGGACAGAGCTACACAAGCTATATGGAGTATGTTGTGCACAAGTTTGCACAACAAATGTTATGACTTTTAACTGTTTCCTTTCAATCGCTCAGCTGATGTCTGTCTCTGTAATGTGAGCTAAAGCATTCAGAAGTCTCTCCTTGCACCAGCACTGGTGTGTCTGAAACAGAAAACTTCACCTAGACCTACTTCAAACAGCTTAGAGCCCAGACGATATCAGCTGTTTGCTGATAAATTGGTATCTGCATTTATAACAACCAGTAAAAGCAAAGTTTAAAAAGTGAAGAGGGGATGGGAGAAACACCCTTCATTCATGTTAGGACTGTTGGTGTTGCGAAGTTTGTACACCAGAGGGCACTCTGCAACTTCCCTGTGGGCAACATGTTTCTAAAGCCATAAAAACAACCAAACTTGCGTTGTCATATTATCTTATTAGGGACTCATAAATACCTACACATATCAAATGTTCAGCAAATCAGTTTGTTTTGTGACAGAAAAAAATATCAGCTTCATATACTGGATTTTTAAATCACCAAATATATTGGTCTGGATAGTGTTTGGTGAAACTTTAAGTGTCAAACTGACTTTGGTGAAAATCCGGCTTTGCATTCTTCGGTGTTTAGGAGACAGTACCACCAATAATACTGCTTTTTTTCACAGTCTGTTGTTAAGCTAGTACTCTAGATTAAGGACAAATGTTTAAATTTCAAAGTACCGTGAGTCCTGTGGCTTCAACCACGGTTTGATTTTGTGCTGACCTCCCAAACAGAACGCTTATTGATTAATTGTAAATGACACACGGGCATGTCAGTATTCAATACTGTATTTTAAGGTGACGTGGTGAGGTTAGTGGACTTTCTGCTCCACTCTCATTTGCTTTTTCATCAGCTTTACCTGTCAGGGTGAAGCTGATATATGGGCACCCGTCAGTACTTTAACAGTTTTATGATTTGTTCTGATAAGTGTGTTTTCATTACAGGGAGCGTGCGTACAGTACAGGGAAAGCCATGTGTGAGCGACTAAAGGACTCCATCCCAAGGCAGATGTTTGAGATTGCCATACAGGCAGCTATTGGAAGTAAGGTCATTGCAAGAGAAACGTAAGTACAAGAGCTAAGATTTTGTTAAAATGATGTGTAGAAATCAGATGTAAAGTACTGTATTTAATATGTGGTATGACCACACGTGTCTCTTCCAGAATAAAGGCGTATAGAAAAAATGTTCTCGCAAAATGTGTAAGTAAAGTTTGTTTTTCTTTCTTCTTAGAAAAGTCCAAATATACCACTGATGCTTTGAAATCACTTTTTTTGGTCTCGATAGTATGGAGGTGACATTACACGGAAAATGAAGCTACTGAAGAAACAGGCAGAAGGTAAAAAGAAGATGAGGCGTATCGGCAATGTGGAAGTTCCCAAAGATGCTTTTATTAGTGTTCTGAAGAGGAAAGAAAAATAGACTGTGAGACTATAAAACAACATGGAGCAGGTTTTTGTTATTGAAAGGCTCTGTTATGTTTTCTTTGAATAAAGTGCTGCAAACTGGAGTGAAAATCCTTATTTGTACATGTGTCACACGTTATTGGCTCTTTTCTCTCATACAACACCAGCATTACAAACCATTCTTTCATCATTACACCTTCATGTTCATGACCATTATAGTTATAACTTATAGTTATACTTGTAACATTTACATAAATGCAGTCTGAAACCAATCAGGAGAATGACTAGATGTTTGAAATGCAAAACCCCCACACTGGTTCAACAAGAAGTAAAACGAGAAGCTCACATAGTACAGTTCTGTACAACATCTACCTGCTATATTGTTCAGTATGCGCCCTGATCAAATTATAGAATTATATAGAAATATAACTGGGAGCCGCAATGAGGAGGCCAAGCAGTTCAACAGGGCACGGTCGCCATGACAACTCGATTCAAGTATGTCAAAGGGACTTACGGGAAAAATACACTTTTGCTTTCTGTTACACCTGAAAATGACGCATTATTTTTGGTGTCATCACGTACAGCAGTTACTAATGTTTTTTTGTTTGGTTTTTTCCCAAGTATCACACAGTATCTAGGGAGGCACTGACACTGTCAGTCGTTTTAAAGAAAAAAAACATATAGATGCCATTTCCATCCTTCATTATCTTAATGTGGAACTTCCCAGACTAGAAACTATCAGACTGCTTTCGCTGGCTGTTTGGCTTTAGTTGGTAGTAAACGCTGACAGCCACTGTCCTATTGTAGTCCTAGAAGACACTTTTACGTGACCATGAAAATGCTTTGATAGTTGGGATCACTAATACTTCTGGAATGACATCTTTTCCAAAAAGCCAATGACTCAATTTTAAAATATTTTCTGGTATAACTAGATAAGTACTAGTTTTCACAAATTTTATTGGTAATAAACATCAGTGACTTTAACCACCTTCACTGTTTCTAAGCTTTTGTTGGAGAAAACAACTAATTAGGGGATCGTCCCCAATCATGAAATCACATTTAACAACTTTACAAAACACATCAGATGTGTTAGGATTAGGATTCAACTTTATTGTCATTACACATGTATAAATACGGGTAATGAAATACAGTTTGCTGTACAGACGGGCAGATATACAGATGTACTATGAACAATTATACTGATGTGGTCTGACGCTGCTGAAGCCTGATTGGACATTTTCATCAGTTAACAGTGCTTCAATACAACATGCATAACTCAAATCAAACCATCTTTGTTTAGGAAAACAACCTGCACTTTAAACTTACCCCATAGTCCTATCAATATTATTTAGAACCTAGTCCTTCATACTTACTACATCTTTATTTGTTGTTTTTTAGACCTTTTCAGATGAAAGAAAAGTACAATTTATATTCTGCATCATTCATGCTGCGTTTCTAGGGGAAAACTAAACCATTCATTGTTGTATATTCTGTTTTTCCAGTAGATGGCAGCAGGAGCTCAAGCACACCACGAGGTGGAAGTTAATTTCATCCCCAGCTAATGTCCAGTCAGGCTTCATCAGCGTCAGACCACATCAGTGTCACATTTAAATTGTGCAAAAAAAATTCAACACTGTCCCCAGCAGTTCATTTGCCTGATGAAAGTATCTCATTGCCTCTAAGTGCTGTCCTTTGTACTTAGGCAATGTAAGCAAATCTAATTCAGGGACCAGCTGGCATTTTGCTGCAGTAAAGAGGAGGAGGACAAACGCTCACAAAGTGTACTTCAGCGTGTGTAGTGGATTCAGGAGAGGAACACTTCTTATTAATCTGCGTGGACTATTACAGATTATAGGCCTGTTTTTCCTTCACATTTTGTCAGCATAGCAGGGAGAGCACACACGACTGACGGATGACTAATGAGGCCATTAATCAGCAACGTAGGGAATGAATCGCCATAGGTTTCCAACAGGCAGTTTTTATGTGGCTGTCAGACAAGTAAGAGCTTTCAACTGCTTCTGCTGTTGAGATGGAAGGTACTGAAAACAGTACTGCAGTAGAATTGCAAACATTCAGATGGAAAACTTTTCTTATAATTAAACAGAAAGTCATAAATATATATAATGTGTGTGTGTGTGTGTTAATACCTTGCAATAACAGTGTCACTCTGACAAGCATGCGTCGTAGGAAACGCGATTTGGTGTTGTTTGGCTCTAAGTCCCACCCGTAGTTTCGTGCTATCAATGCGGAAGCAGCTATGAATGAACACAGTGCTAACCGCTGGTAGTGTGTATATTGTGAATTACGCCCACATATACACCACGCAACTCATTGACACGTAGCTTTATAATATTTTGATTCACAGCGCTTCCACCTGAAATGGGATACCATGACTTTTACTGCTCTTTTTAATTTAATTAAACAGAGTAGAAAGCGTTATATTGGTTGCTAGCTAGCAAGTCATCTCTGTAGCCTAACTTCCTAAAGTGTCCGTCGGCCAAACCATGAAGGTCCGCTCGTCTGTTTTTGCCTCCTTTATTTTAATATTCGAAGTGATTGGCATTGCCCTTTTCCTGCGGGGATTTTTCCCCGTACCTGTCAAGTCTTCTTTCTCATCCAAGAGCAAGCTGTCAGATCTGCCAGCCGAGCCGCTGACAGGTGAGTCCAGTCTCATCCACATCTGCTCACACTCCTCTCCTCGGCCTGTACTGTTGACATAAATCTGTTAAAACTCATAAGCTTTCTTCTAACCTCACAGGAAGCGCTCCTAATTCATCTCGCCTCCCGCAGCCCCTGTTTAAAAGGGTGGTTATTATGTTAGTGGATGCCCTCCGAGAGGACTTTGTGTTTGGACCCAATGGTCGTATGTATATGCCCTACACAAGGCACGTGGTGGAAAGAGGCTCATCACACAGCTTTGTGGCCAAGGCGAGACCACCTACAGTCACTATGCCCAGGATCAAGGTAGGATGCCACTAGCATGATGTTGAAATGAGAACTCACCCATCAAATCTGTCCACTGTCTCTCATCATGGCGTGTGTCTGTTAGAATTCTGGATTAGTGTTTGCTGTAGTGAGTCAACCACTTGGATCCAAACTATCAGCATTTCTCAAATCCTTTCCAACTCCACACATAAATCTGCATCTCTGAAACTCTACATTAGCACTTTATTATGTAGTGAAAACTTGAAACGGATGATGCCAGGAATATTCTGTTGTTAATACCTAACCCTGTAATGTGGTATTCCTTTAAATACACACTAACTTCTCTGCTCTCTTTATGGTGCTGAAGGCGTGTAATATTTTCCATTACAGGCATGAAACCCAGGCTCAGTGTTAATGCTCAGTTTACTGTCCATTTTGTCCGCTTTGCAACTCAAATGCAGATTTAAACAACTAAATCTCATCTGTTTTGGTGTTTTATAGAAATCTGTTGATTCACACTAATGAGAAAATTGGACGTGTATTTTTTTTTAATGTGTTAAAAGAGTCATTAGTACATTTAGAAACATCCAAAATGAACAGACAGTTAAAAAAGTGTGAGAAATCAAGACAGGAAACATAACAAAACAGCATGGAGGAAGAATAAAATATAATACTTTAAAATGCTTGTGGAAAGTATAAGTCTTGTTTAAAAGAAAATAGCTAGACGATTGGAAGCGAGCAAAAACCATAAAAAACATAAATGTCTTCAAATCTTTCTGATAAATTCGGTGGATGGAGAGCATTTGATTGAGCAATATCACTGATTGTGAAACAATTGTTTGGCAATATATAAGAGCTCAGGTGAGAAAATCACTGCAATGATAGAGAAAAAAATTCAGATCTCCAGCATCCATGGAATAGTGCCAAGAAATTCTACAGTGTGTGACATCTAGCAGTGATAGAAGTCCTTTTTAATGAAAGATAAGAACATTTAATATATGATAAGATACCTGATAATGGAATATATTTAAATCAAAAAGGTGCACCTGCACCTTTCCATTTAGTATTTAGTTTTTTCTTAAAAAAATATTTTATTGTAATTCGGTATATTTTCTGGTTCATGTTGTTATAGGAAACTATAAATAATAACCAAAATGCAATAATAAAAGTTATTATTTTTATTATTAGTAGTAGTAGTGGCAGTAGTATTCATTTTAAAGACTTTAAAGTGTTTAAATTCCTAAGGAAGCCAGGCTTTCATTTGTTTGTACACAGGATTCAGGTTTGTTCCTAAAGTTTGAACAAATTCAGGTATGAAAATGTTGATAAATGATGGATTTGTGTGTGAAATGCTCGTACGCATGATTTACGCACAGATTTGTGCGTATTCACTTTTGGTATTCATATCCTTAAGAGAGTGAATGGACTTAAGTTAAGGAAATTCCATCAGCTTGAAAAAACAAAAAAACAACTTAGCGCTATGTTTTTAACTTCTGTCTTATTTGTCTTCACTCAGAAGAGATTCCTGGAGACAGCTAAGGATGGAACTTATGCGGGTTGACTACTAATGATTAAAAGTTAGATATATTTGTTTTATGTTAGCATAACAGTGAAATGAGATTTTGTGCTCATGAAAAATTTTGCCTAAAGTGAACATATAAATAAACAAAAAAGCTCCTAAAGATGACTCCTGAGGTACACCACCAGTGATTGGGGTGGAGATGAAGAAAAGCTCCAAATCTTCACCCAAAAGGATCTTAATCAGTGTTTTCAATATGGATGAACGTCTTGAGAAGGTTTATTCTGGTGCCAACCTGATTTAGGGCAGTTTAAAAGAGTTGTGTGATTGAGGTGTGCAAAGATCTGGTAATACAACGATATATACATTGTGCAATTACCCAAAAGCACCTTTAAGAATTGCAGATTCTTAATAATTTGATTGTAGACAAACGTGAAACTGATGAAGACCAGGACTGTAATTTTGACTTGTATTGAGAAGGATTTAAATCATTCAGTCCCTGATCAGAGGTGTTTAAGCTAGAAATGGCAGTGCTTCTGTGAGCCCAGAAAAGCTTGTAAAAAGAACCTGTGATGAACATTTTGAATTAAGCTCTAAGTTTTCAGCCCGTATCTGAAAATAGGGTTAGATGGCTGAAAGCGTGAAAACATGGTGTGTTGTCACATTTGGATGATGTGTCATGTTGCCGAGAGTATTTTGGGAGCGGAGCCAGGAGGGAGTTGGAGTCATGTCATGTGCACCTTTCATGACAGTCTGCTGTGCTGTAACACGTTAACATCGCAGGCAGACAGAGAGCACACCACCAATTAAAGCCTGCCTGGAGCCCTTGCTGATACTTTTTAGGGAATATATCTGATATTGATATCATCAGCCAATAGCATTATATATACAGTTACAAAAGAGAGATGGAGTCATTGTTTATTAGTAAATCGCCCCTTCTCGTCTGTGATCGGTACTACATGTGCTGCAAACGGGAGCTGTGTCACGGACTAACCATTTCAAAATCCGCAATCGTATAAAAGGTGTTTATATTGGTGCAAAATGGACAACATAAAAACCTTTACCTGTATGTTTGTGATAGGCCGCAGTTGACAGTTTGATATTTCAGTCAGGCTCTGTTGTCAGTGGTGTTGAAGAGATTTTGCAAAGGGAATGATTTTCGGGGAAAAAGAGCAGCCCTCTTTTGTCCATGGGTGTCGGGTAGTGCTGAGCTTGGGGGAAGCCATCTAACGGAAATTGTCAGGTGAAGCAGAATATGTGTGCCTGAGTGTCAGAGGGCAAAACTAAAAGCAGAGCCTGTGCCTTAGAGGAAGCGCTCTGCGGTGGGAGGATCGAGGATGTGCTGACAGCATCGAGTTGTTTTAACGGACGGGGATTGCAATACAAACTCAGACCTGGAGAAACGTGCTGCTGAAGGTTCACGGTATGGACACAGTTCTCCTCTGTAGCGTCTGGCACGGGAGGCATGAGAGTGCTGACTCGGCAATCTTCAGGTTAGTGAGGGTGACAGAGAGCATGTGTTGGTTAGGCAGTGAACAGGATGAGAGGTTGAGGCACAAAAAAGTAACTCTAGTGGGAAACCAGCATGGAGAATGGAGGGTAGAGAAAGAGTTTGTTTTTTTAAAGTCAACATTTACATGTTCTGTATTTATTAAACATAAAGTGAAATACTTCAATCCTTCTTTTGTTTTGACTTTGATGATTGTGGCTTATAGCTCATTAAAATCAGGAATTCATTATCTCCGATTATTTTAGTATTGTAATCAATTTAGTAATCAATGAATGATATATAATAAAGAAATGCCCAAGCAAGTTTGTTTATACACTCAACACTGGTTGGGCCTCCGTTAACACAAATTATTGCATAGGTGTGTTATGATGTGGAGGCTGAGGTGTTACTGAAGCACAGGTTGCTTTGATAAAAGTCTTCAGCTCGTCTGTATTTCGGGGTCGGGTGTTTCTCATCTCCTACTTTACAGTACTCCATGGATTCTCCGTGGGCTTCAGGTCAGATGAATTGGTTTGCCCGTCAAGCTCAGTAATAATCTATTCGGCAAACGGTTTGGTCAGATGCTAAGAAGAAATCAGACTGAAGCATGAAGTGCTCCACAATCTCCTGGTAGGTGACTGTGCTGACTTTGGACTTGATAAAACACAGTGGACTAACCACCACCAACACCAGCAGAGGACATGTCATCCCAAATCATCAAAGACTGCACAAGTTTCCACTGGACTTCAAAGATCATGGATTCTGCGCTCTTCTTTCCAACTCGAACACCTTGATTTCCAAATGAATGCAACATTTGCTTTTATCTGAAAGAGCACTTTGGACCACTGAACAGCACTCCGGTTTTTTTCTTCTTAGAAGAAGTCAAGTCAGAAGTGGCTTCTTAGCCTAGGTAAGATACTTCTGACGTTGTAGACTAGATGACTAAACTAATGAAGTCATGGAGTACTTTTCTGTTAATTGAGTGGTTTGACCCTAGGAATGTGGCAGTTGTAGCCCCTTTCCTGAAGACATCTGTGCATGTTGGCACTGAATGTCACCAGACTCAGTCCATTCATATAAAGTTCAAAATTTTGACTAGTTCTCTTAAGTACTTAAGAACTCAGTCCACAGTCTGTACGTTCTTGAGTACTTATGGCCGGTCCTTGACAATCCTTTCAAGGCTGTAGTCTCCTCTTGTCTTTCTGAAGTTTAATTTACAGGATGTTGCACAGGCTGTTGTACATGCCCATTGAAAAGTGTCCCAAATGTGCTCAAAGGGGGTCATGTGCAGTGAGTAGGCAGGCCATATAAGGACTGGGATTCAACTTCAAAAGGGTTGTGTACAGATCCTTGTACTGTGGGGTTGAACATCATCCTGCTACAACTTTAAGTGATAGTACATGACCCCACCCTACCCCCCACCCCGGGGATTCATCTTTGAAGCGAACACTTCCCTAACATGATAGCTGCCGTCAAAGGTGATCACTGGTGAGGACCATGAGCATGCAGACTAGCAGTTTCTGAGGGTTTTGCAGGAAATTCTCTGATTGTGCAAAAAAGCTGTCCCGTTGGCTGGACCGCCACTTCCAGCTTCTGCTGGGGAAGAAGCTGGATGTGGCGGTCCTGGTTGCTTTGGTTACATGGTTGTGAAATAAACATTAAGCTGACAAATCTGCACATTTTCCTGCAATCAGCATCCCAACCGCACCCTCCGTCTAAACCAGCATCATCTGTGGCCCTGTGCCCTGTGATAACACTGCAAAATGTAGAGCGACCTTTATTATTACCGTCTGAAGACACAGCTGTGCAGCAACCACGCTATTAATTCAGCATCTTGATACACTACACCTGTCAGGTGGATAGATTTTCTTGGCAAAAGGGAAGTGCAGATGACTAAACTAATGAAGTCCTGGGTTTTTCTGTTAATTGAATGATTGATGTTGGTGTTCTGAATGCTTTTTACTCTATGTCTCTGTTGCCAATTACATCCGCTAAGTAAAAATATACTTAGAGGTAGAAGTGAATTAAACAGAAAAAAGTAAACTTTCTGTAAATGTGTGAGAGAAAGGAGAACAAACACCCCGAAAAAAAAACAAGCCGGTTATGTTGTTATGGAGCATGTCATTGGTGATGTGGAGGAAGGCTGACAGGATAGAGTGGAGCGAGATTGAGGTGGACTTGCAGGGAGACAGATGTTTCACCATAATCCCCGGATTTAGAGAAGGAAGCGGTAGCGATGGAGAGAAAAGACAGCTTAAAAAAACAGTCCCAGATTTGAACCTTTTAAAAAAGATTTCTTGACAGGACCAGAGAGGGGGTGGAGCAGGCGGCTGTAGCAGGAGATCAATAAGAGTAAATTTTAAATTTAGATTTAGAAGCGCGTGTGTGAAGGGTTTACGTTGCAGCAGAGGTGTGTAGTATGGACACGGAGGAGACGGGAAAATTCAAGATGGCACGTCCTTCGGCTGCCCAGAAACATGCAAGTTTGATTTGTAGTTCATCTGCAGTCCTGCAGAAGGGCCACTTAATCACTTTTTAGAGAGCTTGGCTGTAACTCTAGATTCAAGGTAACTCACCTTGCATTTTGAGCTTAATGTAGTGGCTTCATTTTTCAACACACCTCTCCACAATTACATCCTGAATGATTGGCATCTACCTTTCAAACCGGGCTTTTTCATTGAGGAGCCGATAGAAAACTATAAGAACACGGCCTAGTGTAGTGGCATCTGCTGTCACCCTGCAGCCGGTGCGTCACACAAAAACAGGCATGTAGTCATCGGGGCCCAGAGGCACGCGTAGATTTGTTTGCTGGTCAGTTTAACCTTGAAGTGATTCAGAAGTTCTGCTGTCCAAACAAAAAGTGCTCTGTTGCATCGTCGAGGCTTGATGACACACCAGTAGGTGGCATTACAGACCAACTGCCTATTACTGCCCACTATCACTGCATTGCACCCAATTAACTGCTATGACACAGCCAACTAACCTAAATCATAATCTCTCCGTGTCACAGCCATTAATTTACACACGACTACCTCCACAGTTTCTAATAATATAACAGTATATCTCCATGGAGATATATTGCATGGTTGACTTCAAGTCTGGTGCACAGTGAGGCTTTATAGTCTTCTTTCTTTTGTGTGTTGTGTTTTATTTGTGGGAAACAAACTGTTATTACGAAGGAAAACCCCCCATGGGAGTCATTTTTACAAAATTTGATGATCCCCAGTTTAGTTACTCATTCTTACCATGGCAAGCAGAGAAAATTAGTTTCCCTCCCCAGTCCTGCATTCACATGTGGCCGGTAGAGCCCCACGCTCCCACTGGCACAGCAGTCAGTGGACATTACTGAGATGCCGGACTTGGACAGTGAATTCAGTTAATCATAGCAGCTGTGGGTGTTTCAAAGGCTGGTATCTCCCGGGATAGTAAGAACACAGCAAGGCATGATAGTTTTTGCTTTTGTTTTAAAACTCCATATGTATTATCTGGTCATAAGGCCTGAGAAATTCTGGATATTTTCACGTTAATGGTAGAAAATGTTCCTTTCACGAGTCAAGAGAAAGTAAGCACTGAGGAGGAAACTGAAAAATCTTCTTCCAGGCTCGAGGACTCAGAATCGCAGCCCCCTTCCGTCTGCATTTTGGCACCTTGACAAGTTTTCATCACTATGCCAGAGAGTGTCTCTATACCCCACTGATATTGTATTTGACATTTACGCAGTAGCAACGCAAGCCTAGACACATACTGTGGGACAGTAATTAGTACGTTGATGAATCACTGATTCATTCGGGCAGCTTCTCGATGCCGTTTTGGCATCAAGAAGGATTTTAAGATGTAGCCTAATTAAGCTGAACTTTTCTGCACAGCTTTCAAACGGATCTTTCTTGTGCAATCGTCTAGATGCTTTTGTGTCCCTTCATTTGTTCTTGCAAACAGTGTTATCATTTTTGCCCTTTTTTATGTCCAAGGCACTGTTTTCATTAGTCAGGCTGTCTCTATTAATAGACTTGGGACCTTCCTGAGAGCGAACAAACTGAAAGAGACGCCTGCTTTTGAAGCAGAAAGCATCCATCTCTCCCCGAAACAAGCACCTGCGCTGGCAGAGGCAAAACAATCGCAAGGAAGGAAGTTGTGAATAATTGAGCTCAGGAACAGAGCTCAGAGGATGGGTTTCGGAATTGTTACACCTGTGAATAAACAGAAACAACTGAGAGGCTTCTGCTGTTAGTGGGTTACTTTGTACCAGAGTTTGTGTATTAGTTTGTCATTTTTAAATAGGGAGACACAAATATTTTAAGAAGAATATTATTTCTCTTAAAAAACATAAAAGATATTGGTATCCATAAGTGGCTGTTATTTACAAGGATGTGCAAAAGGCGTAAACCACTGTGACTTCTTTGTATTTTGCTTCCAAGGCTCCAGAATTCCTTGTAATCTTTTAAAGGTTGCATTGAGTAGTAGTTCTTCAGGCTTTTTTAAGGTCTTTCAAAGTTTTGATGGTTTTCTTGGGGGGGACTGTGGCTGCTTTTCACTCATTTTTAGTCAAGTCCCCTATCCCTGACAATTTTCAGAAGAATCTTTTGTTTGTAAAGCTGCTCAACGACATGACTATCAAATGCTGTTTAAGTAATATGAAAAACTCCAGCAAAGACCCGACACAGAAACTGAGAGATTCATCTGGCCCTTCACTTGATCTGTCACCTGTTCATTGAAGCCTCATCAGAAACGGTCTCAGTGGAAGGTTGTCGGTCAAGAAGTCATTCGTAAGGAAGGGAAATTACTTAAGAACTGGTGTGAAAATTGGTGGCAATGGGACTGATGGAGTGATGAACCCAGTTGTGAAAATTTTGTTTCAAAATTGTCATTATAATCTAAAACAGTACAGCATCTATAGAACACAGTGGAGGCTCTGTCATGGTTTGGAGCTGCCTTTTAACCAGTTGTGCTGGGGATGTTGGTGAATTTCGCTTATTTTAATTCTGAATTATTAACGCAGGAAAGTCTGGTCAGATTTTGATCCACCATGCAATACCATCTGGAAAGTGTCCGATTGGCAACAGCTTCATTTTTCATCATGACAAAATCCCAGCTCACTGTCAGTGTGTATCCAAGTATACCTGGATAGAAAAACACACAGTCAAGGATTGGCCTCCCCAGCCAAGATCCAAAGAAGAGCTTTCAATGTCCCTCGAGAAGCCTGGAGAACTATTCCTGCAGACTACTTTTAGCCAGAAAGCTCAGTAAGAGAGTTTAGACTTTGTTGAAGAATAAAGGTGGGCATAACCAAATATGGATTTTCAGCCTGGTTAGTATTTCTCAGATTTTGTTTTTGCCTTATATACTGTGTGTCCATGTATGTTTGCAAATGTTTCAATAGAAACATTGCACTACTGCAATATTAAGAAATAAGGGGGGTTTTCAAGACTTTTGCACAGTTGTTTCGAATGCAATTTTGCACTGAATGAATGTTAAAGAATAATGAAATAGGTTTTAAACCAGGAGTGTTGTGGTTATTAATGAAGATGAACAAAATAAAATATAGAATATGCTAACAGAAAAAAAATCATGAAATACCAAATTATTAGTCTAAACCTCAGCATTGGCATAGAAATTCACATCTGGCGTTAGTATTCAAAACGTGATGGAAAATAAAGAAAAGCTTGAATCTTGTGACATTGATGCATGATACTTGATGCATTTCTACCCCCATTTTTTGAAGTGTGACATCTTTGGTTTGTTTTCCTGTGTAGAAGCCATAGAATTGCGATAGAGAAGTGGCACCTATACGGTGATATAGCATAAATTGCTGAAAATGTCTTGTAAGCAAAAAAAACCCCTAAAAACACTGAACAAAATACCCAAATGTGGACTCATCTGATCAGGGTTGATCAGATGAATACATAAACACAATAAGGGACGATATAGATGAATAGATGACAGGGAATTTTCTGGCCCTGGACCCCTTGACAGCTCCGTCTTGCTTTTCTCATATAACAAATCCTGGTCACTACTCATTTTAGTCTGGATTTTTGAGTGTCCCCGAGGATCCAGAGCAGTGCTCCAGGCAGCACATGGAGGGGGGGTGTTAAATAACAATGTCTCCTGCCATCATCTACAATCTCTTGTCTACTTCGCTGCATAAAGACAAGGCCTTTGTACTTTCCCCCTCGACGATGCACCAAGCTTTTTCCTGGCTTCCAAAATAGGCTGTGTTATAGTTGTCAGTCAAATGGAGGCCGATGTTGTTTTATTTCAGATTCCATGATGAAATCGGTAGAAACTATACTTCATAAATATCATGTGTCTACCTGATTCAGCTTTCACTTTCCATTTGTGGTAGCAAGATTGGTTTGGTGATGTGGGAATTGGTTTAATTTCTAATGTTAGATCAGTGTAGTAGCCATTTAAATTTGACTGTTTGTTTTTTTTTACCTTTAATAATAAAATAAATTAATGAATGTATACATTTTTTAACCAATCCCTGTACTGCAGCACAAATCCTAATTAGTGGGGTTAATATGATGAAACTGTAAGGTTGTATAACACCATTAAAAGACAATTATTGTTCAAAGGACAATGACAAAAACATATTCCTCCCCAGGCTCTTACCACTGGCAGTATCCCAGGCTTCATTGATGTGGTAATGAACCTAAATTCTCCTGCACTGTTGGAAGACAACCTCATTTGGCAAGCCAAAACTGCAGGGAAGAGGATAGTATTCTACGGGGATGACACCTGGGTGCGCCTTTTCCCAAAACACTTCATGGAATATGATGGCACAACTTCCTTTTTCGTGTCTGACTACACTGAGGTATGTGTGAGTTGAGCCGTTGGGGTTTGCTTGTAAAAGTCACGTAATGTAATTTTCTGCTAATATGAAAAAAAAAGAAAAGAATGAAAGCACCTGGTTGCTGATGTGGTACATGAATTTTAGAAATGATACATAAAAATGATCCAAGTCATACAAGGGATAAAGGCAGCTGATCAGCCAGCATCACATCAAAACTGCTCATCTAATAGCTCCATATGCCTTAGCGGCAATTTTCTGTGGGACTGTTTGCAATCTGTTCTTGTTTATAGTAGGATTTTGGTGGTTCTGAGCTCATTACCTGATAGGAGGGATGTTTACTTATCAAGGGTACCACAAGTTTGGGTAAATTTCCTCTTAGCTCAGATTTAATGAGGATAGTCTTGGTATGGAGATGAATTTTGAATAAAACAAGCCTAAATTAAATATGACAAATCTTGTATCTAAAGACGTGCGTCACCTTCTTTCCAGGTTGACAACAATGTAACCCGTCACTTGGACAGCACCTTAAAGAGAGATGACTGGGACATTTTAATCCTCCACTACCTAGGCCTGGACCACATTGGTCATATGAGTGGACCGTATAGCTCACTCATCCAACCCAAACTGATGGAGATGGACGACATCCTGAAGAAGATCCATAGTGCTCTCATTTCAAAGGTAATTAATTTTCTTAACTTCTACTCTTATGTGCATCATTTGCATTCTGTGTTATAGAAGAATTCCTTTTTGTTTCTGTTGGGTTAGAATGTAAGCTTTCTTTTATGAGACCTCATTATTTTTATCCCAAGGCCCCTAATTGTAGCTAACTAGCAATATTTACCAACTAGTCTCAACCCGAGTCTTTAGAGAGATGCATGGATTCCAAATGAAACAAAGGTAGTCAGGAACTGACAACATCTTTAGAATTCAGGAGATTACCTCCAAGACTTTGTCATAGTCAACGTTCTCCACCTTGGGAAGAGCACCGGATGACAAAGCTGATGTCAAATTGATCTCACATCTGCTGTTGCTAGCTGCTGTTTTGCCGATGGTATACCTCTTGACTGCTGGGTTGCAGACACGTTCGTGTCAGTTTTTACTACCATCACTACAGAACCTCAGAGATTATACAGAGGGAGATATGTCAACAGGGCTCTAGAGTGCGACCAATTTAGTCACACATGCAACCTAATTTCTCAATGATACGACTATAAAAACAACCCTAGGTCTCAGCTGTTCGAGTAAAAAAAAAAAAAAAAAAAAAAAAGCCTCTGCAACTCTGAAAGTCTCCGTGTGGTTAACAACAGATGCACATTATGCATATCATGGTCTAAACCAATCAGAGATGGTCAAGTGCGGGACCTCTCTGATTCGTCCGACAGAAGTAGATGCAGCTGTGGGTAATGAGAAAGGACTGAAAAGAACGATTGATAACTTTTTCGTTAGGTTAATGCTTGATCTGCCCGAAATTCATAGCCAGTGCTGTGACACTAAGCCATCATTACGTCTAACACTGGTTCGGAGACGACATCACATAACGAGCCACATACGATCGACTCCGAGCTAGAGCCCACTGAAAGTTAAAAGGGGAACGTGTATTCAAAGCGAGTGGCTTGACCAGTTTCCCTGGCTAAGATACAGTAAAGCTGACAGAATGATGCACTGCTTTTACTGCCGTGAGTGGGGAAAGACCGTTGTGTTTGTGACTGGTGCTAATATGTTTTGAATGGAAACGCCGAACAAACACAGTGTATCCAGAAAACACATTATATGCTGCGATAAATGCACTGCCCAAGTGTCCCCTGTCCTCTAATTAAAAAAAAAAAAGTGAACATGTAAAACTGTGGTGTTAAGCAATGTGGTTAAAAAATGTGTGTGCACTTAAGACAAAAAAGTCAGGTACACCAGTGCAACCATGGCAAAAAGTTAGTCTAGAGCCCTGGTCAGCAGTTTGAAAAGATAAGACTTTAAAATGATTGGGTTTTGACTTCGTTCCTTTCCTATGTTAGCGCTGATATTGCACTGTTGTCTGAGTGGTGACACCTGTTGCTCGGGAAAATACTGCAGCTGCTACTAGAGTCTTAAGGGTGAACATAAATAAAAGCAGCTGTGTGATGACGATACCTGTGCCCAACTTGATGGGCATACTGCATCCCAGCTGCATAGTTCCTCTTTATTTGAAACCTGTGGAACCCTTTCAGCCTACTTCAGGCCATACATGACCCATAGACATGTAAAATCTCAGAAATTGGTTTGCCAAGCAAATAAAATGTGAGTCTTGTTGCTTTCTTTCAAAAACAACCAAAACATAACAAAAATAATGGACTCTGCAACACTCAAAAACATCTAAAAAACATGAGTAAAGTATTTAATTATTAATTTAGCAGCACTAAAGTACTTCAGCTCTGTTGTTGCCTGTTAAATATCCCTGACAAGCCTTCAGTTGCCACAGATGGACTCAAGGTAAATAATAAGGAGGGAGTCTACAAAAGATGTTTACACAAATCCAATAGACCTTATTGAATACTTGAGGTAGTTTTTTGTGGCCTGAAAAGCCCAGTTGAAAGGTAGGCCTGAACCACTTCCAAGAAACTTATACGACTGTGTATAATGTATGAGGGGGAGCTCATTTTGGCAAACCCTCGAAAAGATCCAACTCTGCATTTTCTGCAACCTTACATGTATGTGCTTTGCATTTTACCTCCTTTCAGTCTTTTGTTTTGGGTCCAGGGTTTCATTGTTGGGTTCTGAGCATCATGGAGCATTAAGCTTCAGAAGAGGCTGTTATTTTTCTTAGGAAGAGATGAGGGATGGAGTATTGGACTGTCAGTGCTGTTGCTGCTCATTGTTAATATAATTTGAGCCATTTTAAAGAGAGGTGAATGTAGGACAGACTTCTATTTTTTATTTTGCTCTCCATATTTTGTTTTAGTGCTTTGCCTTCAGATTTTTGTGTGAAGCTAATGGGACTGATGTGCTTCGTAAGACTGAACTGAAATTAGCTATTGCTTGTCAGCATCTGTTTGTCTCTAATAAATTTATAGAATAACTCTTTTTTTTTTTATGGTTGTTTAAATCTAGTTAGTGTCATAATAAAGTAAAGACAGGAAAATATGCAAATATGAAGTAATGACTGGTTAATATATTAATATGATGCTATCAGTGATTCTTTTTTTAACACTATCAGTTTTTAGGTAGGCATTTAATTACACAGAGAATTTGCACCGTTTCCAGCATTTATTATGTTATCTGTTGCAGGAACCACCAGAGATTTAATAAACTGTTAAGCTTTTGTTATCTTTAATTTTGCCTTTGATCAGTGTGCAGGTCTTGTGCCTTTGTTCTCCCCCCCCTCCTTTCACATGGTCTGGCAGCTGTGCATGCATATTGTCTTTGCACCGTGTGTGTGTTGCTAATGGGCATTTTCTTACTGTCATTCAGCTATGGAGCTTGTATTTAGATTGTCAAGTCATGTCTACATGAGACTACAACCTCCCTCTTCTTTCCCTTTGCTTTGGTATATTTGAAATGACAGAGAGAACAGAAGCCAAGTGCACGTAACCCTTTAAGATGTCCTTCCTTTGGATAAGTTGATTCAACATTTCACCAGATCCCAAAGTTTTGAATTCTGTCTTGTTAAAAACTGTCTGTCCGGGCTCATGGCGATATCTCTGTGCTGTGGGCAGCCTCACATGTGCTCCCAGTGAGCTCTTTGAATGAAACCTGTTTGAAAGTCTTGCTTCAGTCACATTAGTGGAAGCTGTGCCTGTTCTTTTTTCTTTTAGCAGCACTATGACCTAAATATAGACACAGTCCAGTGGGGTCCCGCAGGATATCTTAGAAGCTCCTACCAAACAACGTTTCCTCAATCAGCACATGCTTCTAATATATCCGGGTGTTTATGATACTGAGGTATCAGGATGTCTCACTGCACACGCAAGTTGTGTGTTATTTGCTGCCGCCGCTCCTTGATGCTCTTAAAGGGACGGTGGTTCGAGATGGAGGTAGCCTCAGAGGCTACCTCAAAATGAAGCGAGAGGCTTATTTAACCGAGCGCAAATTAGGGACAGAGAAATTCTTTACCTGCAGCACGGACTAACGCAACACTCCCCATTAAAACATGATTGGAAAGCAGGACCTCCTGGTCATAAAGACCTCAGTAAGACCTTTGTGTTAATGGAGAGCTCATGGCCTCAATCTTCTCTTCTATATATTTCAATTTTTACGGGTTGGTTTCTACTTTTGCTGTTTAAAGTATAAAACTTTTTAAATATGACCTGCAGAATGAGCAAGTGATCTAAGGCCTGCCAGGGAGACAAGTGAAAAAAACATTTATACCTGGAAATAGTTTCATGTGCCTGTTTCAGTTATCTTTATTAAGTTCAAACGCTTGAATATTGTTGTTTTAATGAGCTAAATCGCTCCAGTCTTTCCTTCATCTGAAATGTACAGTTAACTGCTGGGGTTTCTTTTTTCTGTTCTTATGATTGGACTAAAAACAAAAGGCTTTTTATGGCTCTTTGTATGAGCAGTTAGGTCATGACGTTTTTGGACAGCCAGACAATGTTGTTGTACACCACAACAGTGGATTTGAAATTGGATGTGAAGCGTAAAGTGGATATAACACAGTCGATCAAGACGTGATTGATTTTTTTTTAAGGGGTTTAACAAAAAAAAAAAGTATAAACTGTTAAGGATTTAGAATTTATTACTTATATGCAGTTTCACTTTTTTTAAAACCTTCAAAGTACAAAGGACAGTTGACAGACAGCAGTTTCATGACCAGATGAGACATAATACCTCATTAGGCGTAACAGAGATCTTTGCTTCCTGTGTTTGACCTCCATAGCCCGGTCAGAAACACTCTTGAGGAGGTAGTTGTATCATTGTTAGAGTCTAGTCAAGAGAAACAAAATGCAATCCACTGGTTACACCCAAGAACAAGACGGATTTATGAGAAAACATCTGAAAGAGTCTGCACAGTTCTGGAGAAAAACAAGAGTTTACCAGAACTACGGGAAGAGAAAATTATGGAGAAGCAAATAAACAGCTCATGCATCATCATTTACACATATATGTAGGAATGGGCATGTATGGCTGCCATAACGTGGAATCAAAGTACAATTTCTTTTTCTTCTATGAGTTATTTAGTTGAGCTTTCCACCCTCCTAACAGCTAAAATACCCCTGGGCTGAGAATCACTGACTTACCAGATCAAAAAACATGATTTCAGAGTAAAGTGAAGCTTTTGTTTTTCCTCCTGGCTTACTCATGGAGAACACGAGCAAGTGTCTGATTCAGGACAGTGTATTGGCCCAAAAAAGGTTTGTTATGAAGTGTGAAAAAACGTCTCCCAGAAGAGGTCGGCACCGTGCTTTCATCCAGGAGAAAACTCTGACTTATCTTAAACAGAAAAGAGGCTCACTCAGCGTGTGGCGAGGTGGTTTTTAGTTTCTTTTCTTTCCCCCCATCGTCCCTTGTGTCCAGTGCCATCCTATAACAAGCATCCAAGAGGTAAAATCTGGGGCAGAGGATAGTCTTTTGCTGCTGCTGTGCTGAGTAACTAATATAATTGTTCAGCAAAGCGCAAAGGCACAGTTCAGCGCAGGCTTTCCACCTGCAGCCTCGGCTCAGACCATTCTTCATGTTTTTATGTAACAGTCTGAGAGTATCCCAAAGTTCTCTCGTTCAATAGCTCCATCTACAAAAGCAGCAGCATTTTCTGCTCCTCTGCTCGGATACTCGTGTTATCCAACTCGTCTTGGCAGGGTTTATCCCACCTACCTCATTAATGATTACTTTGTCTGTCTTTCAGGTTGTCTTGCTTAATGGATTACAATTTTCACTCTTAAATAATAAATGATGGCCTTTGATATTGTTTGTGGGTATGATACAACATTAGAACTGAAGTGTCTTTTGGTAATATGTGGTAGGATCTGGCTTTTGTTTTGTTAACATCTACAGTCATGCCTTTAAACCAGCCCCTCTGCTATGACTCATAAGGCTTTCCCTGTTGAATTCATTGCCAATGGAAGACTCTTGTGAGTCTAGTTGAAAGGGAATTACTTAAGGAAGAAACCAAGCTTGATCACAGTCTGTCATCCTCGACTTACGATTCGCCCTCTGTGTGTTTTTGTTTTCTGTGTTGTTTTTTTGTTTGGTTTTTTTTTGAAGATGGTATGAAACAGCCTCAGTGTTTGTTACGGCTTTCTGTTTTTACAAGTAAGTATTTAATACCTTCCTTTTATGTTGCTGTCGAATTTCGCCATCGTAATAAAATGAAAAGATATCTGAAGAAGTAATCCATTAGCCCAGCAGCCATCATTTTAACGAATTGTTGTTTTCCAAACTTGATGTATCGTTTTTATTTTGTTAGCTGACACAAGACACATTTAGCTCCAGGCTTGAATAAATCCCATCTCAGAGCTTTAAAGTTTGCCTTCCATCTACAGTGCAGTGCCATTAACCTTCAGGTTTGCTTCTCTCAGGAAGTCGAGGGATCCTTGCCTTACCTGCTGGTGTTGTGTGGAGACCACGGCATGTCGGAGACCGGCAGCCACGGAGGCTCTTCGGAGCCGGAAGTCAGTACACCTTTGGTTCTCATAAGTCCAGCCTTCAAAAGAAAAGGTAACTGTTCTACTGTTTAATGCTTAATTTTAATGTTTCCTTATTTTCTGTCATATGCACTCACTTTTTAGTTCCATCTTAATAGTACCAGTTTGGACGTCATTTTACTGCTTTATTTTGGTTCATATTGACATTCTGCTGCTGCACATCCATGATCCAAATCTCCTGTTCCACCACATCCCAGCAGTGTATTGTTGGATTTTAGATGTGGTGACTGTGGGATGAACTCATTGTCATAGTCAAAATGATGGACGCTGCACTTTCATAGTTTGAGATGATTTAAGTTTGAGACATGGCACATTATCTGGTCAGCAACAATAGTCAGGGAGGCTGTGATGTTTAAATGATGCTCAATTGGCACAAAGGGACCCAAAGTGTGCCAAGAAAATATCCTCCATGCCATTACACCAGCAGCAGCATTGAAACAAGGCAGGAGGGATCCATGAAGAAACGCTGCCTGTTCAGAATCTCAATCTTCTGCTCCTCAGGTTTGATGGTCCTGTGCAAATTGTAGCCTCAGTTTCCTGTTCTCAGCTGACAGATGTGGTCTTCTACTGCTTCTGCATTTGGAAGGCAAGGCTTAACATGTTCAGAGATGCTCTTCTGCATACCTTGGTCGTAACTAGTGGGTGTTTGAGTTGCTGTTCTCTTCCTATCAGCTTGAAGCAGCCTGGCCATTCACCTCAGACCTCTGGCTTCAACTAAGCATTTTTACCCCGAGAACTGCTGCTCACTGGACATTTTCTCTTTGTATTTTTTGTACCTGCTCTATAAACCCTAGAGATAGCTGTGTAGCAAAAACCCTGCAGATCAGCAGTTCCTGACCAGTTTCAAACCAGCCCGTCTGGCACCAACACAACGCTACATTCAGAGTTACTTAAAACACCTGTGACTGTGTGTGGATGTTCATATGAAATATGGCTCAGGACATGTTCAAGTAATCCACGTGAGCCAAATACTTCAGACTGTATTAAATGCTCAGTTTACATGTTTTTTTTGTTCTGTAAAACACCTTGTAGTGGGTATATTCTGGCCACGGAAGCTCAGGCCTTCTCTTTACAAATCAGCCAATCATAAGAAAGTTGGCTTAAAGGGAGGGTAACAGGCGCTTGAATGACTTATTCCACACCATTTATGCATTCTGATTACTCAGTACTTCATATCTTTGACTGCAGAGAATTGGAATAAGAATCCGAATGAGCTGTGAACAACCCAAACATGTTCATGAAATTAACAACAGGCTCTCCAGAGTGAGCTGGTTTAAAACTTCAACAGTAGCAGCAGCCAGGAATCTGAGGTTTTGACATTAGCAGGGTAATGCACAGAGTAAATGATGTCAATTTTGGGAAGTTGCAGGATGTTACGAGAAGATTAAATGTGATCAAATCTGCTCGTGTCCAAGAATGGAAAGTATGGATCTGGAAGTGATCAGAACAGGTCACGTTTAAAGGATGCAAGTGGCAGCAGACTTGCCATTAACTTGAAGAGCTTGTGTGATTTTTGTAATGTGTCTGCCAGCTGCTACAGCCTTTCTTGAGTTCTCACACATAACGTTTCATTAGTGTGAGGAACAGTGTCATTGCACACAGAGGCTTATGAGCAGAGCTTTCTTTTGCAGCGATGAATGTGTTTAAGTGTGAAAGTACGGTCGTGATAATTGCTTCTTTCTCAGCCAAGTCTATTTTTGAAACTGTCTTGGCACTTACTTTTTTTAATTTTATTTTTTTATATGTGAACCATTCACCTTAATTAGTCATTAACAGTTAAGTGGAGTTGCTACAGCGTGTGTGGTTTTGTTTGTACTTTATGCCTCCCGCTGGGCTCACAGTTTGACTGACTCTTTTCTTAACCACCAGAGGTTTTTGGTTTAAATATTAAACATGCAACAACCACAGAAAGTTGATGAAGTACGTTTCAAATTATGTGTTTTCTTCAATGAAATAAACTCTTCTTTTGAATGAATGAATTCATTCAAGTTCATTCATAAACCGTGATCTCTATGCCAAACACGGAGTGGAAAATATTGTACCTTAAAGTTTTTCTAACGAACATAAAACAAAATCCAAACAGGTCTGAAACATTGAATATGTAAGTTTAAATGAGCACGATCAAAAAATATCACGAGGTCTTTTGCCGTCAGTGTTTGTAGAGTGTTTGTGTCCTATTGAGACAATTCGATTAACGGTAGTTAAAATAAGCAGAAGCCTTCAGGGCCGAACAATGAACACAAACAGGAAGTGGTGTGATGCCACCCATCAGAAGTTTGGATTTCAGTTTTGGTGAGTGACATTTTAGTATTTTATTCAAGTAGCCGTTTACCTGGAACCTATCAGCAGATACGTGTGTCTGTGTGTTTCACCCGTATAGTTCATGGATGCCCCTCACTAACCAATAATGTTAGCTTTAGTTGATAACTGAGCAGTCCTTCTCTGGATGGATGGATGGATGGATGGATGGATGGATGGATGGATGGATTTCTAGCAATCATGAAATATCCCTATAGTTCCTTGATGTAGGGACATTTTTATGTTATTATCTATTTATTTGAATCACTGAACTACATTGAGGACACTGACGTCTATTTAAAGTTCTGCACCTTGATTTTTTTCTTTCTGTAGGCACAGACTTGTTACTCATTACCACTTTAGATGTAAATATGTTGATGCAAGTGTGTTCTATTTTAATGAATCAGTTAGTGCAATCAGTGGCCTTCATTAGCAGAACTTTATTTTGAACGTTGTGAGAATGATAGGTCATTAGCAGAGAGCTCATCTGTCTGTTGTTTTCATTAGAACGTGCTGCGGACGATCAGACTTCAGCACCACCTCACTACCTGAGCTTCACTTTTTAATCTGAATGCATCATTGAGAAAATAACCCTCTTACTGCAGATTGACAACACATTTAATTGATGTTACTTGGGGCAAAGCTGCGTTAATAAGACACTGTTGGTATCAGAAATCTTCTGGTTATTGTTTAGCTCTGTAATCGTCCTCCTCGGTTTTTGCTTAGAAAATGTATTTTGATAATTTGTATTTATCTTGGATTTGGACACAGAAAGAATGTTTTATTAAATTCTCCTGACAGTGGAAAGTTTGTGTTTGCTCAAATGAAATCTAGGTGGATTTGTGACTTTATAGGAAACTGGTCTGACAACTTAAAAAAAAGTGTGCTGTGGAAACTTGGAGTCTGCATTGCAGATGGAGTGCATTATGAGAGGAGTTTCAGCAAAGGAGCCGTCTTTTATCCAAGGAAATGTGCAAAAAAACGTTGTTTTTTTTATTTATTTTTTTATAGATTTGATAGATCAGGAAGACACTTTGAGTTTTTTGTTGTTGTTGTAATAACACATAATTAATAATGTATTCATTCAGCAGATTATTGTCATACATTTTGGTCCATAGGTTTGTGGACAATGAGACCTCTTTTGTAATGTTGTAGCACCATGTACCATCATAGTGGATTTTAAAAACAATCAAGTTGTGATTGATGGTCGGCCTCCATCTTTAATTCAAGGAGTTTAACAACAGTTTTAAATGAAATTTGTAGCAATTACAAACTTTTCATTCAACGTCCCCATTTTCAGATGCTCAAATGTGATTGGACAAACTAGCATCCTTTTAAATATAGGGACTGTATTTAATACTTTAATGGAAATCAATGACTCTTTGTCTCTGGAACCTATAAACCAAATGCTGTGTTTCCTCCCTTGAGATGCTCTGGTAGGCTTTTACTACAGCTGCTTTTTTGTCGATCTGCGCCTTCAGTTTTGTTTCCTTTGGCCTCCTTCGCGCTCTGTAGGCCTCCTATTGAGAGCCTCAGGCAACAACTACCAAATCCAAGTTCAACACTTGGAATTAACTCCAGGTCTTTTCTCTGCTTAATCTGGGATGAAATAACGAGTGAACAGGCCTCTCCTGGAAATTAATTTGATGTCTTTTCCAATTACTTTAAAATGAAAAGGGCATCCTTTGTATACAAATGGCCGTAATTCAAGAAGCTGACTGAAATCAACACTTGTTTCTAAAAGAGGTCAAATGAAATAGAATCCAATGGGGAAATTACCACTGACTCTCTTGTTTTGTGACTTCAATAATTATTTTACTAATGATGTTAAGGTCTCAGTCACTAGTTTCAAATTTTAATGAATACAATATGATGTTCATCTTGTAAATTATGGTCCCATTAGGCTGCAGCCACACAGGGAGCAATTGGATTTTCGCCCATCGCTGTGAAGCCGGCATTACAGACTCTGGCTGCCTAAACCTTTAATATATTTACTACCAGGTTATATATCAGTCAGCAATACCCTGTGCTCTTATTGGTAGTTGCTTCAATCACTCCCCTCAAAGTAGACTCAGATTTATCTTGGGATCCACCCACTTGGTGTCGGGTTTTTTAACCTCATAGTCACTGAGTGTTGACTTTTTACCTCGGCACTGTGAATTGCTTCCAGCACGGACGCAGCTTTAGAGTCATAAAGGGGCACAAAGCAGGATATTGTTTATTGCAGACCTACTTTGTGTCTGACCCTGTGAAAGTGCAGTGTCCATCATTTTCTTATTCAGACTTAATCCACCTCTTGCTCCTCACATCCTGTTTCAAAAAGCTAGGATGGTGTTATAGCGTTCTTCATCTTTTATATACATCCTTTGAACTGGATTTTAAAAAATAAAT